GGTGTAGGGGGTGTGCTGTGTGGGTGGATGGGAGTACGGAGACGTTCTGTGTGGGCGGGGTGGGTGTAAGGGGTGTGCTGTGGTGGATGGGAAGGCTGGAGGCGTTCTGTGTGGGCGGGTGGGTGTAAGGGGTGTGCTGTGTGTGGGTGATGGGAGCACGGAGGCGTTCTGTGTGGGCGGGGTGGGTGTAGGGGTGTGCTGTGTGGGTGGGTGGGTATAGGGGGGTGTGCTGTGTGGGTGGATGGGAGTACGGAGGCGTTGTGTGTGGGCGGGTGGGTGTAGGATGAGGTGTGTGTATGTGTTGCGGGCATCATTCAGTAAATGACATCATGTCTTGACGACCAATGGCGAAGCACGACACCGAAATGCAGTAATGACGTCACATTTTGTCGTCCAATGATAGAGCACAACACGGAAGAACAGTAGTGGCGTCATCACACCTTGTTGACCACCAAGCGGGGTTTTATTTTTTGTAGAGATGAATTGATTTGTATTTGATAAGGTGCCATAGAAAGCGCGCTCTCTCTCTCTCTCTCTCTCTCTCTCTCTCTCTCTCTCTCTCTCTCTCTCTCATACACACACACACACACAGGTGGTTCCCTCATCAACCAGCTTGTTGAGTAGTGTAGCCACCAAGCCTCTGTCAACACAACCAGGATCTAGCTGCTGAAAAGGTTTGGTTGTTTCAATTTCTCCCCACTGTTGGTTAGGGTACAGTCTCAGTGTAGTGTAGACGCCATGTTAGTGTCACAACTCAGGTGAAACAGGTAAAAATAACTCATCACTATTCATCTAAGTTAGGGGGAACAGTTCTTGTATAATAATAATAATAATAATAATAATAATAATAATAATAATAATAATAATAATAAAACACAAACTGAAATAATGATAAACAAACAAACACAATGATTAAAACAAAAAAATCCAGAACTCGTTTTACTCACCTACGTGGAATTTACCTGTGTTACTCCAGCTCACCGCTACACCTGTCAGCGGGTCTCAAAACATAAACATTGAAAATCCTGATGTGGGTCCCCTACTTCTCTCTTCGTTAGTGGGTAATATTAAGACCAGACGAAGCTTCCTGGGCGTGTTGTGTGTATGCTAGTCTAAATATGAATTTGAACACCTGAAGAAGATTAGACACTACAGTTTATTTCACTTGATTAAAAGAAAAACACCCTGAGGCTACCTTGTGGGGTTAGTTTAAGTTTGGTTAGGTTATATTAGCGTTAGTTTAAGTTTGGTTAGGTTATATTAGCGTTAGTTTAAGTTTGGTTAGGTTATATTAGCGTTAGTTTAAGTTTGGTTAAGTTATATTAGCGTTAGGATGGCTAATCTTCAGGTGAAATTTTGTATACACGATAATTTTTCTGTTTTGAGTTCTTCCGGGTTAAGATCTGGGATGAGGGTCGTATAAATAGGTGGCCAGTGAACTTAAATGACCTATCGAGAGTATTGGTATTGCTATAGACATGTTGAGATGCAGAACAACCAATTACCTGTGTGTAGTTAATTACCTGTGTAGTGTTTCCTGTGTGCAGTTAATTACCTGTGTAGTGCTACCTGTGTGTTATGTTACCTGTGTGTTGTGCTACCTGTGTGTTGTTACCTATGTGTTGTATTACCTGTGTGGAGTTCATTACCTGTATGGAGTTAATTACCTGTTTGTTGTGTTACCTGTATGTAGTTAATTACCTGTGTGTTGTGTTACCTGTGTTTACCTTAATTAACTCAAATCGTCTTTTAGATATATTAATAGTGTAAACAGTAATTTATAACTCTTAAATGGGGTCACATGAAGATTACCTGATGATCTAGGGAGTTAGATTAGGTTAGATTGATGTAGCTTAGGTTAGATTAGGCTGTGTTAGACTAGGTTAGGTTCGGCTGTGTTAGATTAGGATAGGTGTGTTTAATCTTCAGGTGAAATAACCCGGGATGGTTAATCTTCACCAGATACCTCACATGTGTATCTGAACTATTAATGGTGAACAATTTACATCTGTAACTTTCTGGCTGTATAAACTATTTCACTCCATTTAGATCAAAGCTTGACTTAAAAGGCTTCTTTCTTTGATCTTGAAGCTGGTGGATAGTTCTGTGACTGTGAGAGAGAGAGAGAGAGAGAGAGAGAGAGAGAGAGAGAGAGAGAGAGAGAGAGAACACAAACGACTTTCACCTGTAACGATGAGAAGTTACCTCCAGTTTGTATCACTCACTTTCGGCAGCCACTCAATGTAACTCTCTCTCTCTCTCTCTCTCTCTCTCTCTCTCTCTCATACCAAAACATTCCTTCTTTATTGTTCTATGATTTCTCACCCCTTTCTCTTTGTGCCTTTGTGTCTTCTCCAATCATCAGTATCTCGTCTATTCCTTCTTTATCAGTGTTTCCTCCTATTCATCCTTCATAGCCTAGAGTAACTTTATTCTTATTTGTTATCAGTCTTTATTGTGTGTCATCATTGTCTTTGTTATTCTAAATTATCTTCTTGTCCCTTCTTTATTCGTGTGTGTGTGTCTTTACTCTTTTATCACCATTTTCTTCTTTGTTTACATATTTCTTTTCATTCCATTCTCTTCTCCCACTACCTGTTCATTTTATCTCTTCTCCCACTACCTGTTCATTTTCCACCATAACCCCCACTACCTCACCCCAGGCTCATTTCACCTCTCACCCTCATCCGCAGATTGACCTACAGGTTTTTTTCACATTGCCTCTGGCTATGTCGCACACGCCGAGTAGTCTCTCTCTCTCTCTCTCTCCTCGCTTCTCGCCTCGCCTTCTCAGCCTCCTCTCCCTCTCCCTCTCCCTCTCCCTCCTCCCTCTCCCTCTCCCTCTCCCCCTCCCTCTCTCTCTCTCTCTCTCTCTCTTCTCTAACACAGAAGAATATGAACACCTGTGTATGCATGTGTTTCCCGTGTGTTGGGGGCGGGGGGGCACTGAGTCATAAGTTCATAAGTTCAATTTTCTTTTGTTTTCCATGATGTAAGTTTGTCATCATGTGTTTTGTAGTGATCTTTGTATACTGTATATCAGAAATGCCCACATTGACCCTGACATTCTTAAAGGTTGTAAGTGTAGTTTTTCGCAGCGGATGTATTTTGTATAACTGTACTGTATTCTGAACCCCTCCCCTTCACTCCCTAACCCTTCGACCTAACCACCGATGGAGTTGAGTAGTTGTGGGGTAGTACTGTAATTCTATGCCGTTATAATTTTGAAATATTAGTACGGTGGACCTACGTATTTTTGTACCTGGATAAACTCGAGTTAATTAATGAAATCGAGGTTATTTATGTCGTATTATTTCATGACATTACTATCTCAGGGTTGTATCTTCTAGCATATAGTTAAACATGCTAAAAAAAATTAAAATTGTTCACCCCAAAGAAAAACTGGTAAGAAATTGTTATGTGAAGGAGATGGAAGAGGGAAAAAATGTAAATAAATATTATAAACCTCCAATTACCACAACATTATCTGAGTTAAGGTCCCTCTTCCATCACTAATCTGAGGTTAATGTTAGGTTGAATCTCTATGAAGCGTGTTCCTCCACCACGCAGATTACCACTTGAAGATTATACCTCTGTCATATTTGGATTGGTCTCCGGGGGTAACATTAGCCTTCGAGTGACCTTCCACAACAGAGATGATTCTGACAGACCCGTTGCCAGTTGGGATTCCGAAGAGGCTCCTTCTGTGAATTTTCCTAGTAACTGATGATTTCAGAATGCATTAACTGGTTTACTTCAGCTAAAGTAGAGAAATATACATTAAAAAATAGCATAAATTTACTCTGATACTCTGCCTTAGCTAGATAATGTTGTTACCAGTGTTAGAGAAGATTGTAAGTGTTGGTTTTATCTTTTAATCAGAAAATATCCAGTTGTTGTCAAGCCACCATGCAATATTGATTAAAAGACAGTAAACATCGACGTTCATATTGGAAATTCGAAGCTGCATGTTATACTTGCTAGAAACTAAATATTTCACTAGAGCTTCCCTGAACACTTTCCACCCAGCCAGGCTGACACTGTGGAGTTCTGCACCCTCCCTGTTTTATTTATAAGCCATGTTTAAGGAGCAAGTCTCAACTCTAACAATGTGTTGCACTTTTTTGTGTCATCATTAGTGACTGAAGAGACATCTCATATATATTATGCTTATTAATTTGCATATGTGATAAACATTTATCTTTGAGGAAAGTGTGATTATGTATGTAGATGAGCTGCTGCTGTTGTTTGATAGATATTAAAGTACCCTGTACTGTACTGTACTGTATTATTGTCTAAATTTCCTACTTGTTTTTTTCTTCTTTGCTCTCCATCATAAGGAAATGTTCGGAATTTTTTTTGTCTATATTCCACATATTTACGATAATATAAAGAGGGAATAAAGTGTTGGTTCGTTATATTTCTGTTATATATTTCCATCATGACTGCTACTGTAAATCCATCCACACGCAAGCAAAGATCTTTTTTCATCACGACCAAGTGTTTAAAGGTCGTGGTTTTGGCTGTCCATCTATCCGTCTGTCTGTCTGTAAACAAAAGCTACCCACACACTTATGAAAGATCTATATATCTCCTAGATGCACGGTAACTAAATTTTATGCACAGTTACTCCAAAACTTATCTTTACGGAGGGGTCTGATGAATTTTAGAATGTACACTGCGGCTCCTGTTGTCTCGGTAGGTTTGTCAAAAAAATCCTTTGTCGGTTGTGTCATGTTGTTTCACACATAATCGTAAAGATACTTTTTGGAATGCCTGTACAAGTTCTCTATACACAGTACAGCAGTTAAAGTGCTGTGTTTGTATTGTGTTTTTGTTTGAGTTTGGGGTATAAGCCATTTCATCTATAGTTTTTATTCACATGTACACTGTGTTTATTCATTGAATTTGTGGATGGTGACAAAGTAAATTATAAAATGTATTTGTTTGATATGTGTTTAATGTTCCTTGTATACTGAACTTTTTTTTCTTCTTTGCAGAGAACCTCGCAGAGTGAGCCTATCGAAAGGCACGACAGGTTTGGGTTTCAATATCGTGGGTGGCGAGGATGGGGAAGGAATATTCATCTCTTTCATCCTGGCTGGGGGCCCTGCTGACCTCTCAGGAGAACTAAGGCGAGGTGACCAAATCCTTAATGTTAACGGCACTGATCTGCGCGTTGCTACACACGAACAGGCTGCTCAGACTCTAAAGGTAACCTCAACCATTTTGAAACTTCCTTTAATCGTATTTTCAGTATAAATAGATCATTGTACAGTATATTAATTTGAATTCATTGTACAGTACAGTATATTAATTTGAATTCATTGTACAGTACAGTATATTAATTTGAATTCATTGTAAATTGGCAGCCATAGAGTATATGATGTTTTTAGAATATGTTGCACTGTATGTATTTATTTAGTTTATGGAGTTCTTTTTAAGAAAACAAATGTGAAATATATCGTATGTGTTGGCAGGGATGTGGACAGACAGTGAACTTGACAGTGCAATATAAACCTGATGAGTACAACCGCTTTGAGGCCAAAATCCATGATCTTAAGCAGCAGATGATGTCTGGCACTCTCAGAACCACACAGAAACGCAGTCTCTACGTCAGGTACGGCTCTCCTCATCATCACAATAACTACTGTAGCAGAATCATAGCCATTTAACTACTGTATAACAATATGTAAATGGATGAATTGTGTGTGTTGTGTATAGTTAACAGTCTAGTCTAAGTAAAGTACCGTAATATAGATTGAAAACACTGAAGAAAGGTTTTAAAGTAAAAAGTTGTCAGTCTTGTATTCATAAACCACAGATACTTTAAACTAATATTAAGGTTTCAAGGATAATAAAATGAATACTTTATGTTGGATCTCAGGTCCATTATTATAAGATGCACAATCTATTCTACCACTACCCTCAGAGCTCTGTTTGACTATGACCCCAACCGTGATGATGGTTTGCCTTCCCGTGGTCTTGCCTTCAACTACGGAGAAATACTTCACGTCACGAATGCCTCTGATGACCAGTGGTGGCAAGCCAGACGCGTCCTACCCACAGGCGAAGAAGAGGGTGAGTTATGTGTGATGTAAAATGTTATTATGGTGAATATAATTAATTGATAGTCTTTGTTCTATTAAGACGAATGTAATTAAGTTTTCTTAATTATCTTATAATGATCACTTGATAATATACAAGTTTTTATTAATTTATCATCAGCAACTATGAACAACTGAAGATTCTGTTAATTATCTACTTATTATGAAGGATAATGATGCAGTATTAGCCACTTAAACACATTGCTTACAAAGGCAATATTGATTTCGTTTCAGACCTTTGATGTTACATGCTTTTGATATTACAGTGTGGCTGTATATTTTTTATTACTACATATTGTATTTAGTGTGTGATGTAGGAATACAAAAGGTTATTGCAATTTCTATACCCTTTCCACCTGTGATTTTCTATTGTACTTCAGATCTTCTTGAAAAAGAAAAGGATCCTTGTTTAGTCTGTTCAGTGTCAATGTAAACTTTTTATGATATACAATAACTTGCTGTATGTGATATGGTAAAATTTTGCTTTACATAGCATTCGGTGGCTTAATGGACATATCAATCAATAACTTATAAATGATGCTAGATTGTGTGAAGTAAAGGAGTAGACTAGGTAGATGTTAAGGGCCTTGGTGTAGAAGGGGGGTACCATAGCAGAACACATCTATTACAGTGATAAGAATGATTGAATGGTTTTGAAGGAAGTGAAATGTCTGTTCTTGTTATGGTCTGTCTTGATTTCAGCTGCAGTGTTTAAATGTGGGAAAAGGCTAGATAGTGTTGGGTATTAGACAGCTTAATTGTTGTAATTATTGTTTGACACAATTTAGAGTACTGTATAGTACTGTATATACTGTAGTATATGTTTGTCTGAGTTTAATAATGTGCAGTACTGTGACTTATTAATGTACTGGGTTTAATAATGTACTGTTGCTTATTATTTTTTTATGCAGATACTGTATTAATTGGCTCACTTATTGTCTGTAACTTCTTTCCCTACTCATCTCAGGCACTACAGGAATCATCCCTTCTAAAGCCCGATGGGAAAAGAAGCAAAAAGCTCGACTTCGGTCTGTGGCATTCCAGGGCAAGAACAACAATGATGCTCGGGTTGGTGACTTGTTGACTTTCTTTGATATTATTCTTTTCTCTCACACAATTTAGCAGTAAAATATCTGTACTAATATATATATAAAAGATGGTAATCCCTTGTGCTTGGGGCCCCCTCTCTGCTAAAGAAACTCCTCTGGTATTATCCATATACTGTACTGTAAAATATTAGTGAAGGAATTAATACAGTACATAAAGATGTCAGGTCTGCATATAGTCTGATCTGGCTCAAGACATGCCACTTCAAGGAGTTGGAATCAAATCTCTGTTAAATGATGTAATGTGGATTTGATTCCAAATTGACGTTCTCATTACGGTGAATCTTTACAAGTGGAACTATGAACCTTTAAGGTAGAACGATGAATCTTAATGAGTAGACCCTCACAAAACTTTTTAATTCCAGCAATCAACACTAGAGAGGAAGAAGAAGACGTTATCATTCAGTCGAAAATTCCCATTCCTGAACAAGAGCAAAGATGACAAGTCAGAGGACGGTTCAGACAATGAGCGTGAGTACCAGTTCTTTATTCATGACCAATGCATGACACTTGGCCGGTGACTGTTTTATGCATTGACACTTGCATAAAAAAAATTATGCACACTTAATGCAGGAAAAAAATTATGCACACTTATATAAAACAATCGGGCTATAAGATAACTATTGATTTCATCCCTCATTTTTTTTTTATTACAGTAATATCCTTGGTAGCAAGTTCAATTGATGCAGAATGATTCCATGTTTGAGAGATTTCCGGGTATTGAGACAAATCTTCATCCCCAGATATATTTGCACATTTACGGAATTTTTCCAGACATTGGAGAGTATTTCCGAGTTTAAATTACGTTTCTGGCACAGAGCACCATTGCTAGGGACGCTTAACTGCAGTAGGACAGCTTCAGAGCTGTACTGTCTCCATATATGCAAACAATGCTGTAATTTATCCTGGTACAATAATGTCTATGAGATAGGCTGCATTCATAGGCATCCCATGCAGTCACATAACAGTAGTAGTCAATCACAGTACACGAGCACTGAGGCTATGACGTAAGTTCTCCATGCAGCCAGCCCACTCACATGGTCGGTACGTGCTCGTCACATGATGCAATTTCTCGGAAATTCATTTAAATACCCGGAACGGATATGTTTTTGTAATTTCTCAGAATTTTATTTTTAATTTCCTTGATATTGAAAGTTCCGTATGCTATCGGGGATATTACTGTTTTTTTATCGAGTATAATGTATCGGTCAGTAATTAAGATATAGAATTGAATTGTACAGACTGACTTTCCACATGTAATTAGTGCACTAAGAAAAGTTCTGCATACTTCACTGCCTATTGAACTTTTGGGTCATGTGGCATGGAGTTTGTGCTGATAGGAGACGTTTCACCAACTATTAAAGGTAGGAAGTCTTAATTCTGTCATTAATATGGGGAAAACTGAAACCCTTTTACAACTAATCTTGTCATATTTTACTTGGCTATTAGAGAATCTTTAATATATACACTGGATTTGTGTATAATAACCTTAAATTTCCTGTATGATGTGAAGACAGTTGATGATTATGTATAAATATTAGAATGGCAGCCCCCAGAGTGAAGGGGTTAACGACAGAGAGAAAGTAAATAGTGTTACAAGGACTTACTATTATTTCTCTATTATGCCAGTAATGGTGGTCTTCAAACAGTCAAAAATTTACTGATCAAAACAGGTGATTTTTATTCTCAAGATAAGAGACGACATCAGTCACTTCCCTGTACATTCTTAAATGTAAAAGGAATACTTATGTGGAAATTTTTCTTCATATCTTTGAAGTAAAATTGTGATATGTAAGATTTCAGTTTTCCCAGTGGCTTTTTGCCTATCCAGTGGTGTTGTGTCAATAGCTTGGCGTGCTTTAAATATAGTACACAGAGATAGTAGATGGTTCTCTGCACCCAACCTGTGATTGTTGGACACTTTTACAACAACCACTTGTAGAGGGACAGTTCCAGGATGGATTCTGATACACTCATATACTGTATATATTTACAGTGTTTTAGGGTAGCTCAACATAAAGCATCATTACTCATTTTTATGGATTTAATAAAAAATATGACCTTTGTCTATTGAGCAAATATTAAGGCATTGAATTCGATATATTCAGTGTGTATAAAATTTGCTTTATATATCATATGTTGGAAAAAAATTGTAACCAAGATTTCCATGTTATCCTGAATTAGTTGAATATGAACTTGATACTGTGTCCTTTTGTGTTCATGACATTTGGAAGTATACTGTGATGAGAGATATTGTTTCAGTGCATATCATTGTTGCTCTCTCAGTGGGTCTCTTCTTTAAATATCTTGTGTTCACATCCTGCTGATAAGGTTACCAATGTCCCCCTACATGTTCGCTGCCAGTGTTTACAAAGGTGCAAATGTCAGTACAGGTTGACAACCCTTTATCCGAAATTCCAAAAACAGAAAAGCTCTAAAAACCGAAAGTTTTTTGTGGGCTTTTTTTTTTTTTTTTTTTTTTTTTAAACAGGGATTAGCCCACCCGGGCATAGACCACTGACCCACATCGGGGCCTGGGGGGCGAAAATGTAATAGTAATAATAATTATAATAATTATTCATAGTAAATAAAAAATTTAATAAAAAATACACCAAAATAAAATAATAATGATAACAGTAATAATAATGATAAAATATAATAATAAAATTAATAATAATAATAATAATAATTATAGCAATAATACTGTAATAATAAAATGATAATAATAATAAAGAAATACAAGAATGAAAAATAGATCAAAAGTGAGAAACATGACCTTGACCTATGAATTGTTATTACAGTATTATTATAATTTTTATTAAATTTTCGCCACCCAGGCCCCAGTGTGGGTCAGTGACTCGTGCCCGGGTAGGCTAATCCTTGTTTAAAAGAAAAAAAAAATTCTGAAAACCGAAAAATTCCGAAATCCGAAATGCCTCTGGCCCCAAGGATTTCGGATAAGGGATTGTCAACCTGTACTGTATTTTTAAAGGTGCAAAATACTGGACTTAATTAACATGAATACATCCTTGTAATATTTCCTCTAATGTTGAGTTGTTGAAGAAAGGTAAATTAAGTAGACTATTAGTTTTATACTGAAACTTTCCATTTACAAAGAATCCTTGATTATTATTTTTGATCATTGTAGTTACTGGTGCATACTGAAGGATTCTTGTTACCATCCAGGGGTTGGCATCATTCTCCAATTAGGTTTTAGCAAGTAACCTTAAGGGAATGACCCTTTGCCTTTCCTACCTGTTCTTGTTTTATAATGCAGTTTACCTGAAACATCATCATTTTATGGCAATCTTGCCAGCTTTTGTTGTTTACTAACATTGTAATGAAATCAGCAAGTTAATAAAATGTAGTTTCTTATACTGTATAGCGATTACTGATTCATTGTACTAAAAAAGTTTATAAAGAGAATTTTAAGTTGCTTTTACATTGAATTCTCATAAAATGTCATTTATTCTCTCAAACTACTGTGTTCTGAATACTTTGCCTTATATACATAATTTACTCTTAACAACTCAGCATGGAGATCATTGTAGGTGTATCAAGGAGGAGGCAGCCTTTGTTAACATTATGTAATTATAAAAAAAAAGAATTGGTCAGAGACAGTTAATATGATTGGTTGAAGAAGTGCAAATACTTGATGTGTTTGTATCCTACCAACCCTTCATTAAACTGTTGATCTGAGCAAGACTTAATTTTCCCGATACTGTACGCCCATTGTCTCGTTGTGTGTGAAGAATAACACTTACTCTTTTTACATCATATCCCAAAGTCGATGAGGACTTTGAAGGTAAGAGTTTTCGCCGCTTTGTTGTGTCTACCTATATTGTGTATATCTCTCTTCAGTATTTTTTCTCCGTATACTTTATTTCATTTTTGCTTGTCTTGTAGCTTTGTTGAATGGAAGTGTCTCTGTTTACACTTGTATCAGTTTTGAGTTGGTCAGTAGGTTTTCCTTTGCTTTAACTCTTGTAAGTGGGTGAAATCCTTTTAGTGATGATGGATTTAATAATTTCAGGGGACCTTCCTTGAAAGCAAATTAGGAAAAAATCCTGTAATAATGTTTTTGTTTAAAATAAATTACCAAAGATTCTGAAACTTACTGTACCATAGAGCTTGCCATGCAATGTACTGTACTATACTTTGCTTGAATGTAGTAATGTTTCTTTTTCTGTTTAAATCCTTACTCTTGCACCTGATTCTTGTAATTGTTTAGTTAACAAGTGATATAAACGGAATCTGCTCGTACACTCAGACTTGATTTTATTTGCATGTTCTGTCTAGCTTACATATGTACTGTATATTGTATTTGTGTGTTTTTGTTGAGACATTACCACCTCATCCTTGCCTGGTCCTCTCCTCAACATTGTATCACCTAAGTATAAGTAACATCAGCAAAAATTCAGTTTGAAAACCGTCATTGTCCCTGGATCCATTCTGTGGTTAACAATCAATACTTTATTTAACTTGGGACTAATTCTCATTTGATTTTTAAAGTGTGAAAAATAGTTTCTACAATTCTAGTATTAATAGGATAATATAATTTTTCACCCTCTTGATTCATATATGGGATGTAAGTCTTGAACAAACTTTTTACAAGAGCTTATATTTCTGCCTTTTTATAGCTTTTATACCTGTTAGTTTTTTTATAGTGTGATCATCAACCTTCATCATTTATTTTTTTTATTGCACACCAATGATCACTTAGCTTGGCTGTAGTAGTAGTCTCTGGTTTATTTATATAATACCTAGTTGATTTGCATTTTTTACTCACATGTTCACTGGTCAGTTTACATGGCATTTTCCAATGCGGTGTTGAAGATACATAATACAGTACAGTACTCAAATAGTTAACTTTCTGTAGATGGTGAGAACAGTAACACCATAATCATGAGATTGACCTTTGTATGGAAGCAGAAATGATCCAATATTGGGAAAGATTTCTTTAGGTGAAGGAAGCTTGATACATGTGGCTGAAATGTTTAGGGAAAACTATGCTCGAGGTTTCAGTGCATTGAAAGGGAGCTGGGAAGATAAATATATACCACTCTGGACTTAATCCCTGTATTCTTCAAGGCACTTTGTCAGAATACCATTTCAACTCGACCCGTCTTGCTGTTACCGCGTTTGTCTCTTACTTTCTTCGGCAGTTCAATTCAACACTTCACGAAATCGGGTATTATTCACATTACCTTCATCTTCATGTTATCACTCTTCGATCATCCTGGGTTTATACAGTTTGTGATTCAAGGAAATTACTACCCAAACCTCTCATTGATTTTGTATTCCATGTTCTTCATATCTGGTTCACATTTTATCTTATTCAGAGACATGTCCCTTTTTTCTGTTCCTTAAACCCAAACTACGACTACTTCCAGAGATCCTTGTGATGTAATTCTGCTTAATTCTGGATTTTTGTGACTATTTTGATTGTCTTCAGGAACATAAGATTATTCATGTTCATACATCTTAGACCTCTCTCCTAACCACGTGTTCATATACTATAGTAACTCACTGCAATAAGCTTTCCCTTTACATCCAATCAGTCCCTCTCATTCTCCATCCTAAACTTCCCCCTCTCAGTGATTGCAAGATGCATGTTCATTCCTTACAATTTGGTTTTTGTGTTGTCTCCTGAATTTTTACACCAGATGTTCTATCGATCAAATTAACAATCTTAAACATTTTCTGAATACCATTCATCCTACATTTCCCAGGCACCATTGCAAATAATTCTTACACTATTCCAAATAATTCTTACAGCATTACCAATAATTCTTACACCATTACATATAATTCTGTCATTTCGAACAAATGATTTCCCCTTCAATTTCACTTCATATCTTCATACCTAATTCAAAATTCCTCCCGCCATCATTTATCACATGCAGTCTTTGCAGTTTTTGCTATCTATCCTATTCACATTCAAATCAGGCTGTTTTTAATATTTTTTGTGGTTTCAGGCTTTTAGATATTTTTTACTAAAGGCTATTTCATGATTGCAGGAGTCTTTTAATTTCTACTCGACCTTTCCTTCACATCTTGAGTGATCTGAAAGTTAGAGGGTCTTCAGGCTTAAACTATCCTCCCTTCCCCTGAGAGTATGGTGGGTCTTCAGGCTCAAACTATCCTCCCCTCCCCTGAGAGTATGGTGGGTCTTCAGGCTTAAACTATCCTCCCTTCCCCTGAGAGTATGGTGGGTCTTCAGGCTCAAACTATCCTCCCCTCCCCTGAGAGTATGGTGGGTCTTCAGGCTCAAACTATCCTCCCCTCCCCCTGAGAGTATGGTGGGTCTTCAGGCTCAAACTATCCTCCTTCCCTGAGAGTATGGTGGGTCTTCAGGCTCAAACTATCCTCCTTCCCCTGAGAGTATGGTGGGTCTTCAGGCTCAAACTATGAGAGTATGGTGGGTCTTCAGGCTTAAACTATCCTCCCTTCCCCTGAGAGTATGGTGGGTCTTCAGGCTTAAACTATCCTCCCTTCCCCTGAGAGTATGGTGGGTCTTCAGGCTTAAACTATCCTCCCTTCCCCTGAGAGTATGGTGGGTCTTCAGGCTTAAACTATCCTCCCCTCCCCCTACCAAGTCATACAGGCACACATGAGTATTGACTGCCAACCATCCCCAATATACAGCGAACCAGCCGACTGTGCTGGCTTAATATGTGCCAATAATTTATTTATATTTGTATGTCTTGTATTTTACACTTTTGTAAGCCCATTCCTGCTGTGATACATGGTGGCAGGTATCAGAAAGCATACACAAATTCTCCCATTGTTTGCTGTATACAGTAATTCACACTCTTAAACTGCTATAAAAGACAAGTTCTGTTGCAGCATTTACCCTCGCTCAACAAGGCTTTAAAATATCCAATTGCTTTATGCCTTTTAGATCTTTTATTCATATTTATCTTTAGATTTTACACAAGGGTCTTCGTTTTTGCATTAATAAATATATATACTTGATATCCGACTTTCTCATGGTAATGTATTTTATTTTACTCTGAATGCCTTCAAATTTGCTGTAAATATCCTTAAGACAGTTTGATTTGCTCATATTCTTGGGATTAAGAAAAACATTATAATCATATTCTGGTCATAGGATCTTTATTTACATTGTATTTACAATATTTTTATCATGAACAAAATCCTGGTGTTATACTCTCAGAATCAGAGATATTACCAGCAGGATTTCCTATAAATTTGGCATGGATGTACTTTTGTGGTAGTTTCATGAACATACTGTACAAGTTTACAGGTTATTGCCATGGTAGTCTGTTGTAATGCATCACTTATTGTCTTGTTATAAGGAACATGGTCTGAATTGACTTGAAACAGCATGAGTGTACAGTATCTTGAGGTAGATTTGTATTTTTTTGAAGAATATGATTGCCATATGAACTTCATTAATGATACGTGTATGTTTAGGGAAGGTTTGGGATACTGGCCATAAAATTTATTTCCGGAACTGTAATATGAATCTGTTTAATACGAGGACTTACTCTACTGTACTTTTAATTTAAGTTTCATTTGATGTTTTGGGGCCATTTTAAAATTTGCATATTTTGATAGAGATGTATTTTTTCCACTGGCTGAATTAATACTTTTGCAGGTCATCAGTCCATCCATTTTAGATATTCTGTTTTTTGCTGCTCATAATTTATTTGGGTCAGACATTAGCAGTGTCATGATCCAGCCAACATACATGTATACAGAAGAGGGCTGCCTTAAAATAAATTACAGAATAATTATAGAATTTCCCATAATAAATAATAATACGTACATATTAATGTAACAGCCAACATGTTATGACCAGTTCCCTTATTACGTAATTTCCCGTAATGACTAGAGCTAAACACTAAACATATTGAAGTTATAGTCAACCATCAAAAGAATGTTTCAGGACAAATAACACACAGTACAGTACAGTTATAAAATTTCTAATAAAGAATAAAACTAGTTGATGAAGGATATTTTCGTCACTAATCCATGACAGTGGCTCACATTTACTGTGTACGAGAGTTCTTCATTCTGCTTTGGGGGGGAATAGGCTTTAAGTTTTTTAAAACGGGCAAAAAATTTTTGAACATTAATATGAACAAGTTGTGTCTTGGGGATACTGTACTGTGCTTCTTGCACAAGTTTATCAGATTTACAAAAACATTCACATACACACTTGAAGATATACATTATTTAAGCTTTACAAAATTTTTTAGAGACATACATAAAAAACAAAAGCTTGCATAAACATATACTGGTGCACACATGTACAGTATACTGTACATGCATAAAATTATACACTGACAAAACGCAGACACTTGCATGTACGCATGTGTGTGAGCTTGTGTGTAAAAGCGCAACACACCCACTTAAGCATTCAGACACATACCATACCTGTACACCCAAACACAGAAATAATTACTGTATTATTTTACCTTTTTTTATTACCTTTATTGTATCTGCAACACATAGCATAAGAAAAATGTTGGTGACAGAAAGAGAGTACAGTAATTCACATATCCATCCATGTAAGGTGAAATTGTACTGTAGTTACTTTACATTTATGGGAAATTTTTATGGGATGGCTTGAGTGAGCATAATTTGGAAATTTAGAAATGTTCAATGGGGTGTTTGGCATGGTAGAAAATGTAAAGGGTGGTATTGATAAAATGGGTAACGAGACATTCGTCGTGATGATTTGGGCATGTGTGAGATACTCAGGAGGAGAGGATGATGAAGAGAGTAGGGGAACAATACAAATGGTGCATTAGGTAGAGGGCGACTGTCTACAAGTTGGTCGGGTAATGAAGTATCAGTACATGTACATTGAGAAGAGAACAGGGGAGAGGATACAGGGAATAGAGACCGCAGAGGTGAAATGCAGGGATTGGGCGGCCTGAAAGCTCACAAAGGAATTCCTTAGAAGAGCGAGACAAATAGGAGTATAAAGTGAAAATAATGAAATCACTATTAGAATTTAATTGACAAGTTGTAAAGACTCTACATAGAATGAAGATTGTTCATTTCTGTTTCGTTGCTGTGGCTACAGATATTCTAGTTTTAAGATTTTTTATCATGATACAGTAACACTCACACATAATACTGTTAACATCATTTAATACAATACCATAATGTATTATCCTCCATTTTTAAAGTTTGTCACACACATTACTCAAAGTTTTTAAACAGATTATAATGTCCACAGCAGTTACTGCCTTTGATGCCGAAATACATTTATTATCAGGAAATTGTTCAAACCTCTTCAACACCGTCTCCAACACTAGTCCCTGTCACACCTTAAACAGTTTTATTTTTATCCTAACGTGACTTGGAAGGTTTATATTGCTTGCAGTAATATTTCAAGGTTTTAGGTGATTTTAATGCATTATCCAGAACTTGTGTATAATGTACTGTAAATCCTAAACCCAGTTACATTATCCAGAACTCACGCAGGTTGTAGTTCATATCAATGTGTTGTTGGCTTTTAGTATTTTTACTATTGCTTATACTGTACTGCCCAGATTCCCATGTTGCATAAAACTGTTTATTCCACAACTCATTATAATGCCTATCACAGAGAACCCCTCAATAGTCATTTTGTCTATATACAAATATTTAGATGTATACAGCCCCAGTGGCTGCTCATGGCACCTGGCAATTGTTCTTGGAAGTTAATTCTCAAAAAAGTTTTTCATAACCATGTTACCACATCACAGTCTTCCTGGAAAATTGTAAATCAGATATTGTTGTATGACCATAATTTGGCCTTGTGATGTAAACTTTAAAGACAACAGCTGTAGTTCAAATGCATTGTGACTTCTAAGAACATCAGATACTGCCCTGTATTATCCTAAGGGTTAAATGGATGGTACGGATACAATCCCCCCCCCCTCCTCTCCTCCCCCTAACACATTGGTCAGTGTATAAAACATCCCAGTTATAACTGTCCATTACTATCTCCCCAAAGGCTGAGTTGATGTAGTCACTGTCACCCCACACTCCATATTACCCACAACCTGTGCAAAACCTGGTTTGGAATAGTGTGTGTGTTTTAATTGTATCCAGAGTGTTGCCGTAAGTGCTCCTGCACAGAGAAGGTCCCATGTCCCAGAAGCTTGCTCAGTTTGCATGGTGTTGCCCTAGATGAGTTTGCCCTGTTGATGGTGTGTCTCTCTTTACAGCCTCCATAGCAACAAATGACGGAGAGAGCGATAGCCGAAGCATGAGTGAGTATTCCCTCCGCCTGCTAAGTAGGCTTGCTGAGGATGATGTACATTCCTCTCATAGTGTCTGAAAATGTTGTTTTTCAAGCCCAGCAGAAGTTTGTTGATTCTTGAGAAGAGTTCATGATATAGTTTGAAGTGATTGGTATTGAATTTTAATGTGTTATAATGCCATTATCTGGGGGATTTTTGTGTGTGTTTTTTAAGCACAGGTACAACTATATAAATTAAAACCTTACGTAACTTACTCTGCTGGGTTAGGAAAGCAGGTGCAGCAGCAAGCAAGCATGCAGTGTCATGTTTGCAAGTACTTACGAAGTCAATCGAAAATCACGCAACAGATACAGGAAGTGTAAAGTTCTCTACATTATTTACTGTCATCATTGTAAGAAGACCACACAGAATATATGTTACTATTTGTCAAACTTTCCTGGCATGGTTTGTATCCAGTGTAACTTTATATATTCATACTCTGGTATATTCATGTTAAGAAATGATCGTTAAATGTATTTCATATCTTCAAAGTTGTGGCTATTTCTGGTAATAATGTTTATCTGCTGTATTTTCCTTATGTGGAAAATTTATTTATGAAAACACATTTAATGTAACTTTGCCGGTTACCATTCTGTATTATCTCTGTTGTAGCCACCTCAGTCTGTGGTGCAAAGTTGACCAAAAGATTATTGAGTTGGACAGTGATAACCATATTGACTACTACATTTCTAGTTACTATTGATTAATTCATGGAATATATTAAAATATAACTTTTAACATGGATCTTGGGATCAAAGTAATTTATTATTAAATATCATATTAATCAGGTATCAGTATTTTGGATTATTTTTCAAAATGTCTCCTTTAATTGCGTCACATTAAGGCAATATTATAATTCCAGGAGGCGATGACTACATAATCTTGAGCTATGAAGGTGTGCAGCAGACGGAAATCGCATACACGCGGCCGGTGGTTCTCCTTGGGCCCCTCAAGGACAGAATTAATGACGACCTTATATCAGAGTTCCCGGATAAATTTGGCAGCTGTGTACCACGTAGGTGTTTGATGTACTGTACTGGTTCATAGTGTTTACAGTATGTTGTTCATTATTTTGTTTGCAGATTAGCATGTATAGAACTTTTTTTTTTATGAATGAGAGAGAGAGAGATACATATTTGTTTTTATTATTAACCTTAAGATTGTTATTTAAAAAGTAAAAGAATCACAGTATTGGTTATAACAAAACTGTTTTTATTTTCCCCAGACACTACCCGGCCTCGGCGGGAGTATGAAGTTGATGGTCGGGACTACCATTTTGTAGCCTCGAGGGAACAAATGGAACGAGACATCCAGAATCACCTATTCATCGAAGCTGGCCAGTATAATGACAATCTCTATGGAACGTCAGTAGCGTCTGTTAAAGAAGTTGCTGAAAAGGTATGAATGCATATAGCCTCCCTACCAAGTACTGTATAGTCATATATCATTGAAATATTGTGTTATGGTGAGTCACTAAGGGGCTTCATCTGGAGAATACTCGGATGAAATGGGTAAGAAATAGTGAAGTTTATGGGGTGTCATGGATGGCAGAGAAGAGGGTGTGTATTTTATGGAAAGATGGAATGCATGCAGAGATTTATTGGGATGGTATGAGCATGTGAGAAGGATGAAGAAAGAAAGGCTAGTAAATAGGACATACAGTGTGGGAGGAATGTTACAGGTGTGTGTTGGGGTACAGGGAGATTACTTACATCATGGGAGAGAATAGTGGAGTTACACATTGAGAGAGAAAGGGGAATAGAGAGTTGAAATGTGTAGTGACAGGGCAGCCTGGAGTTTCTTCTATTGTGGCCAGCCAATCAGAGAGGAACTCCTGGAGAAAAGTGAAGTGTTAAAAAGGTACAGTATCAGGGATAAAACACCCAGGACTGTACATCTGTTAATATGTGGGAGAGAAACATGTGGGATAAAGTCCTTAGGTATTCGCATAACATGGTTTCATAGAGGAATGTAATGCATAACATGGTTTCATAGAGGAATGTAATGCTTGTGTTATACAGTTTCTAATATGCACTGGTCCTGTGATATGATAATTACATTGGCATCAAAGTGCATAAATGCATGAAGATAAGAAAATAATACTGTACTGATTAACTTACAGGGCAAACATTGTATCCTTGATGTGAGTGGCAATGCTATCAAAAGACTTCAAGTTGCACAACTTTACCCAATTGCCATTTTCATTAAACCCAAGTCTGGCGAACAAATTATGTAAGTACATTCCTTAATATTCCTAGTAATTGGATCATAAACATAAGGCCTCTGTATTTTGTTTTAGTCTCATTAGATGAATGTGTATATTAGAGCTTGAGATATGTTTGTTGTATCTACAAATATTGTTGTGCAGATGAGAATTTTGATTGAGGGATGTATCAAGTCAATAAGCAAAAACTATAGACAAATGTAATTGGGGATTTTGTTTGTGTATGTGTGTGTTTGTGAGAAAAGTTTAATGCAGGTAAATTCAGTTAAGAATTAAGATATATGAAACCTTTTGAAAAATGGTGACTAGACAGTTCCCCAGATGTTAAGTGTCCTGTTTAAAGATGATTGACTTACTGTATAGTGCAGGGGATCTAGGCTTTCTGATAATTATACATGCACACTGCAGTTAGGTGGATACCCATATTCCTCCCATGTAGGGCCTTCCTCATCCTATCCTTTACCAGTCATATACGTACTTCCAGTTCACTCAGTCCAGTAAAACCTAATTAAGGCGGATATCGCTTAAGCCGTACAAAGTTATTTACCCAAATCTCAAGGGACCAAGGCACCAGCGCAAAATGGCACAGGTGCCTGAGAATTATCAATTGTTGTTTTGGGGAATATTATTTCATTCACGCCAGTAATGATAAAATGTTTCTCATTATGTTGTCGCAGGTAAATGCATGGTTTATATAAGCTGTTTATTCCTGTACCTGTCACCGTTTTCAAATTAGATTACAAGATACATATGTATTTCTCCCATACATATTTCGCAACGGGAGCGATAGAGTGACCACAGTTAGAGTGCCGTCTGTATCTCTCCTCCCTCCTTGCCATATTTCACTGGATTTACTGTTATTATTAGTGTTTACTGATATAATAGTGCTTAATAGTGATTAACCATGGCATTTTAACCAAGTTAGACTGATTACTGTAACCACCAGGCTACTGGACCAAGCTGTGAGGTGTTTTATAGTTGTTTTTCATCCCGTATTTTCGGGTAGATATACGTAACTTTTTCATAAATATTGTGAAAACTATAGCTATAGGAGGAATATAAAAAATTATTTCCTAAATACTCCCTACCTTAAAAAACTGTACTGTATTTTTTATATCATTATCGTTTTATATATTTGGTACATTCACCGTAGGCTTAAGTAGCATTCATATTTTTTGCACTTTTATTGAAAAATTAAACAATAACCACGACCCCTAGGAAAGTGTTTGGTATCCATAAAGGTGGTGAGGTTAAGCCTTATCATTGAACTAAAAGTGTACAGTACTTTGTAAAAGTAATTTTGATTTAAGAAACATGTATTTCTTTCATAAAAATTGGATACATTGGTGTTGTACTTATTTTTTTTTTAATGGCAGTATTTTTTGTAAAATTTGTTCTAAGGTGGACAACCTCTTATCCCGGACACTACTTCCCCCCAATTAGTCCGCTTTAATGAGGTTGTACTATTCATGTAAGGATAGGGATAGTTCAGTTAATGAGTATGATTGATCTCTTGTCTTCTCTCAGTATATTCATGTATGTATAGGGTTGATAGTGAATGATTATGATTGAGCACTATATGTTCTTTGATGAGAACAGGATTGTGATAGATTGTTTTATGTTATTTGACATTAGAAATATTGTATTAAATTGATTTTTTTTTCTTTTTTGGTGCACAGAATTTGAAGTTTTGATCTTTTTGTATGTTTGATTAAAGGCAACTTTGGAAGTAACCCCATTTACACAGAAGAGGGTGGTGGGGGAAGAGTAATAGATGCATAGAGATTCATAGACCTCATAATTTATTTTGACGTCTCTTAGACTGTCACTTAATCATCATATTTTTAATTACATTTTCAGGGAGTGGAATAAGAGAATGACGGAGGAGCAAGCACGTAAAACATACGAGCGAGCTCTAAAGGTAGAAGGAGATTTTGGCGAGTACTTTACAGCAATAGTGGCTGGTGATACCCCAGAGGAGGTTTATGCACGTGTCAAGGATCTCATTCACCAACATTCTGGCCCAAAGATCTGGGTCACTTGTAAGGAAAAGTTATAAGATCAGGAGAGTTCCCTTATGGGCTCATCCTGGATAACCTATGCTTGAACATTTTGTTGTTGCATGATAAAAGGAAATGTCTCATTAAGGGCAATTGTTTCTTTCCATTGTATGGACTACTATTGATGCTTGAAAATATAATACAGATACACCCATTGAACCTGGAACAATCCAGATAGATTGTATTTCTAAAAGGAATAGAATATTCAGCTGTACAGCTGAGAACCCTGTAATGGGCTGAAGATTATTTCCTCATGTAAAGGCTCTTGCCTATTTTAAGTCTCAGTGAACCTATTGATTTTTTAAGATATTATTCTAGAGATATTATATTCATATATCTCATCATGGTGAAACCCATACTATTGAAACTTTTAATTGTATTATAAGAGTTTTATGCCTTTACTGCAGCGTGAGGGGAAACTGTGTATGTTGGACAATGTTAGTTGGTGATCATCAGCTCTTACTATCCAAATCCCAACTGCATTTCTGATGGGAGTACCCGACAGTGTTGTATGTATTCAGATAATTTTCTTATCTAAGCCTATGTGACTCAGGAGCAGTATCTTTAAAAAAATAAAAAAAAGGCATTGATATCTGAACTTACGGATACCAAGAGTAGGTGTATGGAGTATAAATTAGGTCGGCAATACAAGGAATAAGGTACTTAACATTTGCCCACAATTTGTTTTCTTCATCTTCTTTCACATCCCTTACTGAAAACTGTTGTCAGACTTTTGCCATTTGATCTCTGCCCAGCTCTGTGATGTAAAGTTGAAACATATAGTTATTATTATTATCTTTATATTTTAATTTCACATACTAGTTGTTTCTTATGCATTATGTACCAAGATGTTCACTACAAGTGAGGTGTATGTATCTTCATTTTAAAGATTAAGATAAATATGGAGTTAAAAATATATTTCCAAAATATTGTTGTAAGAAACAAGAATTAATTAGTTTATGGTAAGGTCATGTAATACATTAATTGTCAAATTTGGTTGGCTGGGATTTATAGCAGACTTGATGAGTGTAGCACCACCTGACCAATCACTGCATTGGTAAAATGGTGAATAGTTATGATAAACACAAATTCTATGTTCCTGGTGGAAAGCAGACATTGGTAATGAAAATTTGACAATATCGTGTAGACTGCTGGCAATTGCAAGTAGTAGATGTAAACCATTTTGTTGTTCTGTATATGAAAAGTAGTATTCCAGTCTTGGCTAATGAGCCTCGTGTTGGAAAAGAATATCGCAAATTATTCTGTGAGATGCATTTTGAAAGTGCCGACTGCATGATGGTGCAATGAACCACATGTCTTGTTTGATAATGAACTCTCAGGAGTAGATGTCCTCCTCCAAATCTGGCTTGAAGTGAGCTTTGATATAGAGGTCAGATTGAGAAACCAAAGTAGTTATGTGACAAGCAGCTGTGTTACCCCAGACATGTGTTGGGCAAGGTTCACCTCTCCTGTGTTGAATATGAGAGAAGTTGATCCTCAAGAGAATAATATTACTTAAGGCAGAAAGTTGCTGCTGAACCACATCACCAATGTTGATGCTGTAATCTCATACCTTGTTTAGAACTAGTGCTTTAGGTCACAGCCAACAATGATAGAAAGCTCAGGTTCTGTTTGTCTTGGACGCTTATCAGGTGCAGACGGCAATACAAATAATCAAATGATAGCAAAGGAGACAGCAGAACTGGAGTGAGTTGTATCATTCATGGTGGTTGACTTAGTCTTATCTCCACGATCCTCCCTGATTGTTCTTGTACCAGTGGTTAACAGAATAGGAAACTTCACCAATTTTTGTGATTTTTCACTGATGTTCTCTAAAAGTAAGAATAAGGAATATGAGCCTTATAGAAAATCTTGGAAATTGGTGACTGACCAATAACTACTGTACCACAAAATGATGTATAATGTGTTCATGGTTTCATTTAAAGTGATGAATGCCTGGTCACTTTTTGTTACATGAGCTGTTTCTTGTATCATAGTATGGATGAAATGTTGATAGGTTTTTAAGGTTCTGTCCTTGTGTCTCGGCTATAAACCAGATTGTTAAGTGATAACCCTATGTGAACCCCAGGACTACAACAAGAAAAATCTATAATGCCAAAATGGAGAGACTGTGAGTTTTTAAATTGCTATAGCTCTTTTTATCAGATCGCACTGATGATACCAACTTAAGTTTAGTATCATCACGTGTAAGCCAAATTTTTAGCAAATATTTAAATAATAAAATTTAAGAATTAAATGTCTCCGTCTCTGCCAGTTGATCGTGTGTTTGGGCTTTCCTTATTATTGTAAGCTTCAATATTGACAAAAAACTAACTGATATACAGTATCTAAAGAGCTTTCAATTTCTACATTACCAAAGCAACATTGTATTACATTTTATTATCAACATCAGTTTATTGTTTGTTAGTCCTATCAAATCTTAATGTACATTATATGGGGTAAGACCAAGAGAACAAGTTCTAAAGATGGGGAGACTAAACATAAGTTTTAGTGACTGTGGTCTTGGTATTTGATTGGTATCAAGTAGTAATGCTTACATGATATTAAACAGCCCGAAAGTGCTGAATCCTAGAGAGAGAGAGAGAGAGAAAGAGAGAGAGAGAACGGTTATCATGTCGTTGTTACAAGTGTGAGTTTTACAAATTATTGTTAACATATTTTGTCAATGACCTATTTATCTGTATTCCCTATGATCTAAAGGTAACTTCCTGTGTTATAGCCATGGTGCCATCTTATTTTTATCCTATTTTTGATCGTTTTTTGTCATCCCATCGTTAGCTCTGCATTGTTTGTATGTACTGTAAGTTGGTGTTTGTAAATATGTAGTGTAATGATACAGTGGGAGCTTACAGTAGTAGATTTTTAATTCTGTTTTGTAATTTCTTTTTTAGCACAGGACTTGTGCAGTGTACAGTATATTAATTTATTATGTTTTCCACACGCTCCTCAACCTCTGTCGAGGTTCTCAGACTAATATGTGTAGACATTTTATATGATATGGACTTTGTTGTATTAAGAGATTCTTTTAATTTTTCTATTTAAAAGCACACCCAGGATGATGAGTCTTTAAATGGTATATGGTTAGGTTAGCAGTTTTTCAATATATGCAGTTGAATATTTTATAATTGCCTTCTTTGATAGACTCTCGTGAACTACACAGATACAGTTTGTTTTTACATTTTAATGTAATGTTATTCCTAGAGCTGATGAAAATCTCATGAATTACAAATACTAGTCATTGGACACTGAAGGATGATTTAATGTATTTTCTGTTGTTGTGTTAAAACTTAATTGACAATAACTGAGCTTATCGCATGCTCATACGGAACCATAGTGATGGCGTGGGTAGTGCGTCTTGTTGAAATGTTGTAAGTATATAAGGTAAGTTAACTGGAAATTTCCAATATTCACAGAGTGTCAGGTTGTGGTAGGAGTTAGACACTGAAAAATCACATTGTTAGCATTAGATTGCACACAAACATTAAACCTAACCATTTACCATACAAAAACAGGTCATATTGGGTTACTTGTGTTGGCTCTGCTACCAGATATCAAAACTGACGGCCTTGGACATATTCTTTTAAAGTCAGGGTTGATGGCATCCTTTTACTTGACAGTATGCCGCTGCTTGTGATGCATGTGGGAACTGCTTGTCCAGTTGACCCATTCCAGTTACATAATATAGAATTTATGTGCAGTGATAGAGAACAGTTAGGATTCTCTCATAAGAAATCAGTATGAACTTTCTCTTACATTAAGTCACTGTTGCCTTGATGACCAGCCAGTAACAGTGCCCTTGACAGCATCGATTCATACCAACTGTTTTCTTTAGATCACTGGGCACTTATCTGTCTGTTGTGTTGTTACAAAATATTAAGAGTGTTGTGTCTGAATGGACTTATCAATACCTTCTTTTGTAAGACAATAATAACTAGGCATAGTTTAAAACTTGAGTAATACATGTCTCATATTGCAGAGAATTAAGAATTCTTGTAATTGCAGTTGTCTAACATTTGTTGGGAATATTACATATATTGTAAAGCTGGAAAGGTAAGAAATATGTAAGCTTTAGCTGTTTATGACGACGATTTTGTTTGCTCAACGTCTAACTTGCCACCAGTGTCAGTGACAGAGCCTCTTTGATTATCCATTTCCTTCATATTGTGAGTGGCACCATGGCTACAACCCCTTCTCTGCATAAAACCCTTAATATTTGCAGCTTCAGTGGCCTGCCCAGTGCATCCTCTGACAACCTTCCCCATCCCTCCCTTCAACCCCCGTATTGTAAATACAACATTATCTCAAAATACTGTGTGTTTTAATTCTTTCCTCAGGCTTATCTTGCAAATTAATAAGGTAAACCTTTGTTATTCACAAGGATTAAGTTCCAAGGAATGGTGCTAATTGGCAAAACTGCAAATAGCAACTTATACAAAGTTAGTGCAGCACTGTGTACTGTACCTATATCAAACAACCAACCAGCTGCAGCAGCACTGGCTCTCTCTTTTAACTTGTCTAATAATTCACTTTCTTTATCAGTGTCATCACTGACTTCCGCCTTATAGGTTTCACTCCACTAGCACTGACACTAGAGACTAGACAGTCTTTTAAGGGCCATTTCACACAGAAACACTAAAAGTTTTGAGTACAACACAAGAGATGCTGTGTCACAGGCAATGGTCGAGTGCAAACAAGGGAGAGGAGATGCTACTGACGCGTGGGGGTGACTCGTTGTGCTGTGGGAGAGGCTTGTAAGCTAGCCACCATCTCAATAACATATCAATAGAAAATTACCCATACGTAAATAATTCACACATCGGAACAATAAAGTAGTATTTGTTATAGGCGCACTAAAAATTCACTTATCAAGAAGTGGTGTCTGTTATCATACAAATATTATTATAGAATCTGAAGCATATAAAGTACAGGGATACGTACATACAAAATTATTGTGCATAAATTGTATTACATACATAAAATACAACAATTTCTTTACAGAATACACATGCTCTGAAATTTCACAGAAACGACATACAGTACTGTACCATAGAATCATGTTATTAGAGAATACACACTTGTCTCTGCATGTCTGGAAAAGTATGTAAAATGAGGCTGTACTCCGGTCGTGGTATTCACTGCGGTGTTCAAAGCATATTGCGTAGGACCCAAAAATCTCGGCCACCGCCCTTGGCATGGACCCTGATGATGCCGCAGTCCCTAAGGGCGCTGCTGTCTCTGGGAGAACCCCTTGGGGTGCCAGCATCCCTGACAGGGCCCCTGGGGTCAATGCTGTCCCTGGGAAAGCCCCTAGGGGTAACGGCCCTGTGGGGCGACACCTTACCTGGCAGAGACCCTGGGGGTGCTGCAGTCCCTGAGAAGGCTCCTGAGGGTGCTGCTGTCCCTGAAAGCCCCTGTCCAAGGGAAGGCCCCTAGGAGAGCACCTGGGGTGCTGCTGCTTCTGGGAGAGCCCTTGGTGATGCTGCTGTCCGTGGGAGGCCCCTGGTGTCGCCACCACTGAGAGGGCCTCTGGGGGTACTGTCATCCCTGGGAGGGCTCCTGGTCGTCGCCACCACTGAGAGGGCCTCTGGGGGTGCTGTCATCCCTGGGAGGGCCCCTGGTGGCTTTGCCATCCCTGGGAGTGCCACAGCCCCTAGGGGAGCCCTCAGGGGCCCAGCCAGGGATGCTGGCCTCCCCAAGGGCCCTCTCATGGTCGGTGGGGTCCACAGGGGCCCTGGCAAGAACAGTGGCTTGCTCAGGGGCCCTCCCAGGGGCGGTGGCGTCTCTAGGGACCCTACCAGGGGAGGTAGCGCACCCAAAGGCCCTCTCAGGGGCGGTGAAGCTCCCAGGGTCTCTCCCAGGGACAGCGACGCCCCCAGGTGACTGGCTAAGGGTGGTGCAAACCCATGGGAACTGGTAGTAAACCCAGGGGAGTTCCCAGAGGCGGTGGGGCCCCCAGTGTCCTCCCAGAGGTGGTGACGACCCCAGGGGTGCTGCCAGGGGCGGTGGCATCCCCAAGGGCCCAGCCAAGAACAGTGGCGCCCCCACGGGCCCTCCAAGGAACTGCGGTATCCCTACCCAGGAGCTCAATAGCTTATTTGGTGGTGGTGTCGTACTTAACTGTGATTGGTGGACTAAAATGTAAATCCACCAAATAACAGCCAATAGGGAACAGAGCAGTCAGTCAGCACAACACCCCAACTTATGTTTTCCTGTTGGATATTTATTCTCATTTACATTCTTCCTGGTGCTTTTTGATACTGGCTGGAAATGCGATGGCCAGTATATTTTATTTATTTAGTTTCATATATCCCATTGCTCTAAATAGTGCAAACACAACTGCTCTCAGAGGCCCTACAGGCACAATGCCCCCTGGGGCCCTGCCATTTGGCCTATTAGGTGCAGCGCCCCCAGGGGCCCTCCCAGAAGCCTTCCCAGGCACGATGGAGCTTCCAGGAATCCTCCCAGGGGTGGCGGAGCCCCTATTGGCCCGCCCAAGGGCAGAGGCGCATAAGGTACCCTCACTGTGACACTGGCGCCCTCAGGGGCCCAGCCAGGGGCGCTGTCGCCCCCAAGGGCCTTGTCAGGGGCAGTGGCATCCCCAGGTGCCTTGGCAGTGACGGTGGCGCTCTCAGGGACCCTCCCAGGTGCGGTAGCGCCCCCAGGGGCCCTCTCATTGGCGGTCTCACCCACAGGTACCCTTCCCGGGGGGGGGGTGGCACCCCAAGGGTCTCTTCTAGGGACAGCAACAACCCCAGGGGACCTGCCAGGGGCGGTAGGAAACCCAGGGGAGTTCCCAGAGGCAGTGACATCAGGGGTCCTGCTAGGGGCTGTGGCGTCCCCACGGGCTCTCCCAGAAACTGCAGTTCCCCCCCTCATGAGCTTGATAGCTTACTTGGTGGTGGTGTCGTACATATTGCATAATCCCAGCAACCCCTTACTTAACTGTGATTGGTGGACTAAAATGTAAATCCACCAAATAACAGCCAATAGAACAGAGCAGTCAGTCAGCACAACACCCCAACTTATGTTTTCCTGTTGGATATTTATTCTCATTTACATTCTTCCTGGTGCTTTAATACTGGAAATGCGATGGCCAGTATATATTTATTTAGCTTCATATCTCCCATTATTCTAAATTGTGCAAACACAACTGCTCTCAGAGGCCCTACACGGACAATGCCCCCTGGGGCCCTGCCATTTGGCCTGTAAGGTGCAGCGCCCCCAGGGGCCCCTCCCAGAAGCCTTCCCAGGCGGGGCGGATCTTCCAGGAACCCTCCCAGGGGCGGCGGCGCCCCTATTGTCCCGCCCAAGGGTAGAGGCGCATAAGGTACCCTCACTGGGACACTGGCATACCTTACCGAAGCATATCTCACCTGAGCATACTGTAACTTGTGGAACATATAACGAAAATGTAGATTGAAGGTCTTGGGATATTGTGGATTGGCAATTCATTTCATAGATGGCGATGGCTACATTGCGGTATCACCAATTTTTCTACGGAGGTTTCCCATCCTGACTAAAATTCTAAATGTCAATACATCAGACACCGAAAATCCTCATGTTTATGTGTGCTGCGTGAGACATAGCTTTCTGGTGTCTGTGATCACGATTTGCCTTGTTGAAAAATCGCCATAGTGGAACAAAATCAACAGCCTCTACACTTGAGACGACTGTGAAGTGTACTGTACTAATGTTAGTAGTCGTAAGTACTTATGAACTATGAGTGATCGATGTTAATTCTGACCCAACATGAGGATCATAGCTGCCCGCAGTGTAAGGTGCCCAGACAACCTGCTGACGAGTAAGTGACGTTCATTATTGCATTTATTTTTTGAGATGAAAGTTAAGGGCTGCCAATTTCAAACACAAAACTCACCTTTGAATATGGAGATTGGGGCTTCGCAGGAAGCTCTGGGCACTCCGCTTGTCTGTGACATAACTTACAGCATAAGGAACGTCTTGGAACATACTCACGTCTCGTATTGTCATATCTTTTTTTTATTCTTACCAACTGATGTAGATTCAGTCCTTCCCTCAGTCTTAGCAGGAATACGGCTTTGCTTATGCTGCTTCACAGACGAGTGGGCGTTCCAATAAAGATCAGCATTGGTCATATTTTCCCTTTCATTTAAGAACACCCGTATATCTGTTGAACAGCTAGACAGAAACTGATCTCTAACAATAAAATTAAATAATTCCTGGTAAGTCTCATCTACTCTAGACAACGCAAGCCATCGCTTAAGGATCTGTTCAAGCCCACCGACAAACTGTGAATGGGATTCATCCGTCTGGGGCAGCATGTATCAAAATTGCTTTCGGTAGGTATGGATATACATATGGAAAGCATGCAAGGGTCCCTGCGGGCGCCACCGCCCCTGAGAGGGCCCCTGGGAGCCCCGCCATCCCTAAGAGGGCCCTTCACAGGACAGCATTGCGTCAGTCTTTGCTACGGTCGCTACACTCACAGCAGTTACGGTCGCTGCACTCATAACCTATAAAGGGCGTCGGTCCTCTTGTGTGTGTGTGTGTGTGTCAGCGAGGCAGTGGGAGCTCGTCAACCTGTCGCATTATTTACATATTCATGTCCTAGACTTTAAACACGAGTGACGTGGTGATAATTCTCTTTGGTGGTGATGAGATGGTGTAGCGTTTAGTGGTATGGTGACCTCTGACTGTTGTTAAGATGGTGACCGTTTACTGTTGTTATAATGGTGACTGTTTAGTGGCATGGTGACCTCCGACTGTTTTTATGATGGTGACCGTTTACTGTTGTTATAATGGTGACTGTTTAGTGCTATGGTGACCTCTGACTGTTGTTATGATGGTGACCAACAGTAAAGGAAGCGATCCCTTTACCCACTCCGCCCTCCCCCCCCCTCTCTTCTGCATCCTTTTAAAGTGACATAACCAAACACCAATCTCAAGAGTCTTCTCCTACTAAGGGCAGCTCGGAGTACCACAAACCAACAAGCTAATCAACATGGCTGCTACTCTCCCTACAGCTCGCTGGCCAGCACTATCAAACCTCCTTCTACAGGTTCCTATCTCTCACCACCACGTCCTAGCCCCTTCCTGACCAAATATCCCGCCTTCTACAGACAATCCCTGGTACCTCACATTATTAGGGTCCTACCACGCTCGACAGCACAATCCCTGACGTTCCTGTAATCAACACCCCTATAAAAGATTCCTGTCAAGTTTTCTCTCTGAAAGTTCTTCCATAATCCCCACAGCCAGGAAGAAATGTGTGTGGTCGTGTTATGGCCGAAACATTTTTATTTTTTTTTGTCTCCCTAAAACTGTGTTGGGGGAAGGTTATCTGGGAAGGGGAGTCGGTGAGGGAAGGGTCTTTGTGTATGTTGAGGGGAGGATGTGTGTGGGGAGGGGGAGTATAGGTGAGGAGGAGGGTGTGTGTGTGTGTGTGTGTGCGGAGAGATAGTGAGGGGGAAGTTGTGTGGTGAGGAGGAGGGGAGGGGGGGATATAGATGAAGAGGAGGGTGTGTGGTGAAGAGAAGGGTGTATAATGAGGGAAGGGGAGTGTGTGGGTTAGTGTATGGTGAAGATAACCAGTAAATGGAAATTGTATGGTGAGAAGTCAGTGAGGGAGAAATTATAGAGTATTACAGTCAATAATAATAATAATAATAGCGGTGTTTTCCTTTCTTTAATACTTCCGACATCACCCTCTTCTCGTTCCCTCCCTCCCCTACCCTCCTCCCCTACCCTCCTCCTCTACCCTCCTCCCCTACCCTCCTCCCCCTACCCTTCTCCTTCTCCCCTAAATGCTCAGGTTATTGCTACTCTTATGGGTCATCAACACAGTCCAGATGACTCTTGGATATCCTGAGTCTATATTTATTCCCGTATTATTTCCATTGCCTCTCGAACAGTAATTTTTTCCCCTTTGGTCTCTCTCTCTCTCTCTCTCTCTCTCTCTCTCTCTTAAACTTCCCATTGAAACTCATTTACATACGATCAGGTAACCCGTCCGCTACCTCACTCAAACTCTCATTAACAACTACAGGTGAGGCTTCAGAGTGACGGTAACATAAGACTCTACCTTAGTTGAAGAGGTTAAGCGATAGACTCTCGACTTTAACCTTGGATTTGTCATTGCTAAGGTATCCGGTTAAATAAACTAAATAAACTATCCGGTATTTAATTACTCGGAATTTTCAAGTATCTGCTAATATACTATCTGTAGTCGTCAAATATCCGCCCAAATTAACTATCCAACAGCTTAATATCCGCATGAGTGAAATATCCGCAAAACGTTAAAAATCCATGAGCTTACCACAGAGGATGACATCAAGGAGGCCTTTTACGCCGACCTTGACAGAGTGCTAACCTCCATCCCAAGAGAAGACAAGGTTGTGCTCCTTGGTAACTTCAATGGCAGAGTTGGCAGAGATGCTAACATTTGGCAGGGAACCATAGGGAGAAATGGACTAGGCAAGTGTAATCCCAACGGCCTACTCCTCTTCAGCAAATTTATAGTTTATCATCTTTCTCTGCGTTTCTCCCAATTTATCGCATTATTTCACCTTTTTATCGTTCGGATCTATTTCCATTTTATTTCATTATATACCAAAGTCTAATTTCTCCCTATTTCTCCCAACAATGACTGAGAGGGGTGAGGATACATTGGGTGTGTTGCTGCCCTCCTTCCCTCTCTACCTACCTTCGTCACTCCTTCCGTCCCTCAATCCCTCCTTACCTCTCTCACTCCCTACCTCCTCCCTTCTTTCTCCCTCCCTCTCTCCTTCCCTCCCTCCCTCTCTCTACTACAGGGTGAGATGTTCCCCGGTGAGTGGGGTAAATGGTAAGGCTCCTCTCACCCTCTCCTTCTCCTCTTCCCGCTACACAGTGACTAACAAAGGCCTATACTGTACTTCGCCTCTCCCTCTACAGCAGTTGGCAGCAGAGTGGAAGAACAAAGTAGCTATACCCCCCCCCCCCACACACACCAATCCCACCTACACACAGACACACGCCACCTACACACACACACACACACACACACACACACACACACTAACAATAGTTGACATCAATGGGAGAAACAAAGCATTCGTCCCACGGGCCCTCTACACACCCACGCCCATCCTCACAGAAGGTCGTCGGCTGAGAAGGGGCTATGACACACACACACACACACACACACACACACACACATTATGAGAGTTAAATGAATAAGGAACAGATAATGTTTAACCCCTTATTCAAACGAGGCTGTGTGTGTGTGTGTGAAGGTAAGTTACATGACCAGAGTTAGTGAAACGTGGGTGGTAAAGACCGTAGACTTTCTCAATAATATTCTTTACCTATACATAGAAGATTGGTGATAGTGTGTGTGTGTGTGTGTGTGTCCCAATCATGTTCTTAGCGTGGTATGAGAGTCCCCCTAGAGATGACAACAAAAGCAACTCCAACCACAACAAATCAACAACAACAACAACAACAACAGAGGCTGGTCTTCGTCGGGTAAACCATTAATAAGAAAAGTCGCTGTTTTATGCCTGAATAAATCTCTGATAAACTGTGAGGAAAATTTGTTTTAAAGTCAGCCAATTCGTTCCTATCAATTTTCCTTCTATTGATTTGGTCTCTCTCTCTCTCTCTCTCTCTCTCTCTCTCTCTCTCTCTCTCTCTCTCTCTCTCTCTCTCTCTCTCTCTCTCTTCGTCTACCTATCTGTTTAAGTGTTATGATCTCCTTTCCTATGCTTAGTTGTGTGTGAGGAGATGTGGAACAATTTAGCATTGAAACTTAATTCTTAGCTTACTAGATGTTGTACCTAGGGAGAGAGAGAGAGAGCTAGAGAGAGAGAGAGAGAGAGAGAGATAGAGAGAGAGAGAGATAGAGAGAGAGTATTTCT